TTCTGCACTGCGTAAATGAAAGTTGCCAGCTTGTTGAATCCTGCAGTATTCTTTATTATTTTTCTTTGATTAGGTCTGGCCCTCGAACCGAGCGGAAGTGCATCCTATAATTACGAGGATCTGGATGAAGCATGGTCCGCCATCAGGTTTCACTTTGGTGGCAAGATTGGCCTGGATTCGGTCAGTAATTCTATGCACCATATGCACAATGCTCATACATTATTGTATCCTTCAGATGTTATACTGTTTGATGAAGCATAATTACAATATCGATGAAATGTTAGAAAATATTGAGATGGAGCAATGGAAGAACCTTTCGAAGAGTGAGTACATCTGTTGTCTCATTTATTTGATTTTTGTTGTTTTTTGGGTGTTTCTCCTTTCAGTTCTCGCTTTTTTTGGTGTATCTTATGTGACGTACGTATATGTGTTCACCAATTTTCAACATCTTAGGCTAAACTTAGCACAGCAGAACGTGAGATCTGAAAGGAAACAACTTCGGTACTATTCAAGACAGTTTGTGAGTGACAAATACCTTGTCTTTTTTTCTGTTACTTATTTCACTTTAGATGCGCCAATATTATGTGGGAGAGATTATTGACTATTATCTTTTAAAGCATATGTGCATGAACGATATACGCGATGTAGCTGTCGCGAAAGGTACCCATAATTGTTGCCTTTACTTCATTTTTCTACCGTTTGAGTGTCGAACAAGGATATTTCAGGCTGACAGATGCTGTTATTGCAAAAGTGTCATGGTATGTGTAAATTGCTCGAAGCATCTGTTGGACGGAAAGCATCGACCTTGTTCAGCAAAAGACTTTGACAACAGGTTTGTTTTGATGTGAATTCTTAGCTTCTAGATATGATAGGTTAGCAATAAGAGATTAGATGTTAGTCTAGATGGTGATTCTCCTTTGACAGAGTATGGTGCCTGGGATCTTAATGTGATGTACCATGCCAAAGCTGTAGGCCGGTGATGCGTGGGACCATTGATGTTTCATAGTTGATTGGAGGACCTCCCTTTACTGCCGAAAATAGGAACATAACTTTGATAAGGGGATCCCTTCTCCAAAGCGAAATTGTCTTACACTCACCTTT